GAAGAGCTTGGAAGTGCCTTCATCGAGGCAAGTGCACGGTACAACGAGAATGTAGCCAAGGCTTTCGATGCCATGATCGCGGAGATTGAGAAAGGCGAGGAGTCTGGTCAAGCGAAGACCAACGGCGATAAGTGTGCGGTCATGTGAGTGTAAGTGTAATGCTTGACGGCCGAATGCAACGACACTATGAGACATATGCGCGGAGGTTTTTTTCCTTATATCCAGGAGCCCACCCTCCTTTCTGCGAGTAGACGGCTGGTAATTTGAGATTTATCCATTGGTACCCTGGCGATTTGTTTCTCATTGACAGATCCACTGTTCTCTACTCTTGGTCAATCGGTACTTGTCAGGCAATCTGATGTCCCGACAATCGATGAATGGTCCAATGATACTACGCATATACAGCGCAGGAGGCGTATGGGCCAGATGTAGTGCCATGTTTCTGGCTGCTCTTGTGAGCCACTTCCTCTTGGATCTCCTGATCGGCAGACCTTGCACTTCGTCCCAGCTCTGAACTCCTGACGGCAAGGGAGGGTTGCTGAGATCAATCTCATGCTTGCCGTTAGGAGACACCGGTCGCTCAGGCTTCGTGATCACAGCCAGGTCTCGTGAGAAAATCTCCTCGTTGAACTTGATCTTTTCTTCTCGTTTGCGCCAAGGATTCTTCCATTGACGCTTGGCGTATGAGGCTTGCTCTGGTCCAATATCCTAGGCATAGTCAACCAAAGCACCTCTGAGCGAACCCTGATTAGCACACCTCAGGATGATGATAGAGCCATGCTGGTATGGCTCGCTGGCCGTCATCGAGATCGTGCAGATATTCTTGCCATTCACACTGGTCGCTGAAGTGACTTCGCTCTTCTTCCAACGCCTCGAGTACAAGGTGCAGCCAAGCTTCTTCAGCAGCCTTTTGCTGTTGATGAACTTGACTCTTAGATCGACCTTGCCTACATATGCTCAGTGTCGTGACAACATATAGCTGTGGACGACTGACTTGACTCGATCGTCTGCCGCAATCGTTGACATACAGTGGTGCTTTGTGCGGTCGGTAGAGCACGTTGCACCACCAGGAGTTGCTCTCGTAGCTCCTTTAGCGTTGTGAGCAGTGTTCATGGTGGTACTTTGCATGTATTTCAGCAGCGTTGCAAATGTGGCATGTCCTTCGAGCGCTGTTCGAGTTGTGGTTTGTCTGCCGCCTGAGCATGTCATATGTAGCGGGTCACTACGACACAGGCTTCACCTCCGTGACTGCAGACTTTTCACAGGAGAACACCTTGTGCGCTTTGCGCCGGCACAGCATGCATCGCCTTTACCGGGAGTGAATTGAGTCAAGAACTTGGGTTGTGCAATCCAGTGACGCCAGCAGGTAAAGGATTGGGAGTGCAAGAGATGAACATTTACAATAGGGGAGGACACACGAGAAGTAGAGGGACGTTGCTTACGTTTCTTGCTGGTGTTTGGTATCTGGGTGGACCTTCACTATGGAGGGCTGCCTGTTCAGCTGCCAGTCGTCTTTTGTTAGCTCCAGTCTGTGACTGTAACACATGATCTCGAGTCTTAGCCGTGTCGCAGATCATCGAACCCATTTCCTTGTCGCCCAGGGAGTAGCATAGTCTTCTGGATCCTCCTCAGTCGGCGCTTCGAACCACTGGCCAGGCCACAGTCATTGTGTCATAAGTCGGGCCGTGAGACTACGCTCTTAGGCTTCCTATACCTGGCAGCCCACTCGTGGTATATCTTTTGTGCTGTGACATATGCTTTCAAGCATCACAAGCACTACCATATCCATACATCATTCCATCAATCGTCATCATCAGCGTAGGCTGCTTCTCCGTCTCCTTCGTCGTCCTCGATGAAAGCTTCATCCTCTGCTGTCATTTGCTCTCCTGGTGCGAGCCCGACTCTACTCTTAGATACGGCTGAGGTGGAAGGATGTGAATTCGTGACAGCGGCGGCATGCGGGTCTTCTGCAACTGAGTCACAAGCGTCGATCCAGTCGGCATATACGTCCACAGGAGCGGCGAGATCTAGCTTTGGTTAGAATCTGTACGCGTGGTCGGTTGCACACCCTCACAATTGATTGTGGTTTGAAATGATTGATTGCAGTTTTTGCACGACAAGCTGCCAATACCGGCTTTCTTGTCAATCAGAACAGATATTGAGGTCTCTGAGTTGCAGAAAACGCATTTGAATTGCGTTGGGAGCGGCTCTCGCTATGCTTGTGTCAGTGTTTGTGTTTGAAGAGACATAGACATGACGTACCTTCTTCGGCCCTGTAGGACCTCGACTACTCTTTTTGCTGCCTGTTATCAGCAAACTGTGATTGCTGTAGTCGCGCGATACCTACCGCTTGCCCATGTTGTGTGCGCGATTGCTGACTACTGATTCTGTGTTATGAAGGAGAGTGCAGCACGAAAAGAAGTGCTATAGAATAACGAGACATAATAGCTCAGGTGGAGACATTTGATTGGTCGACAGCACCTCACTAGTTGAGCTGTAGCGCGCTTGTATCTCAGTAGCCGATTGTCATACTGTGGGACTACCTTATCAGTTCAACAGCACTCTGTTTGTGATGACACACAGTTTCTAGGGAGTAAAGCAGGTTCCTTGCCGTGTCAACCTCAAGGGCGTCCGCAACTTCCTCCTTCATCCATCGTTCAACGACGTTCGAAATGGCTGCCACACCGGCCGACGACAGCTCTGCCGTGCTCAAGGAGATCTTACATTCGTTGCAGTCCCTCAGACAGGACCAGCAGCATCTCGCTACCGCAGTCGAGGCTATCAATGGTCGCGTCAACACATTAGCGGGTGTCAAGCAGGTTCAAGAAGGCTTTGCGTACGATCCGTCACGACCAAGCCCGAGAATAACCCCTCGCGGCCACCCCTCTCGTGACAGCATAGGCTCGATCGATGGTGTCAACAAAGAGCTTCCAGAAGCTGCAGTAGGCACTACATCTCGACGAGAGAGTGCAACTCCCAAGGTCTCGAAGATCATCCTCACATCGTACCCTAACCAAGCCGGTGTCGATCCACTACCAATGGAATGGGGAGCCAAGGATCCCAAAAAGCGTGGTCCAGTCGTCGTATCTCGGAGTCCTGCAACTTTCCGGCGACGTAACGCCATCGGTGCCCACGGTGGGTCATACAGTATCTACTATGCTTTAGCAGTTGGCTCGAGACAACTTGATATCGATCATAAGCCGGATTACACGAACACGGAGCCTGCAGCAAACATTGGTCCATTCCCAGCATGGTATGATCCCAAGAAGATCGTTGCAATGGATCCGCTGGGCCATCTCGGGCCTTGGCTATATCACGACATCATTCGAGATCAAAATGTCGAGATCCGTCCTACCATTGCCATTACCAAAGCACATATGAAGATTCCAGAGCTTGAGGATAGTGTAAGGAAAGACCGACTTGTGCCAGATGGTAAAATATGTCTGAACGAGTCTGGCGAACTTGCAGTCACCAAATTTGCCGTCGAGCCTGTGTGGTACCTGCCTGGCGTTGCTGAACGTTTCGGAATCGATGAGGGCACGCTGAGACGATCTCTATTCGAGCATACCGGTGGCAGCTATCCTGAGCTCATCACTCGAGGTGACATCAAGCTGTTCCTGCCTCCGATCGGAGGTCTGACGGTGTACTGCTTCGGTGATCCTGCCAAGATGAGTGATCCTAGTGTCCGCTTGGCTCTTCGAGTGCACGACGAATGCAATGGTTCGGATGTCTTTGGCTCGGACATCTGCACTTGCAGGCCTTACTTGATCTTCGGCATCGAAGAGGCAGTCAAAGAAGCACAGAAGGGAGGGAGTGGAGTCGTCATATACTTCCGCAAGGAAGGCAGAGCTTTGGGCGAGGTCACGAAGTACCTGGTCTACAACGCGCGCAAACGAGGCTCAGACCGTGCATCAGAGTACTTCAAGCGCACTGAGAACATCGCTGGCGTCAAGGATATGCGCTTCCAGGCATTGATGCCGGATATCTTGCACTGGCTAGGCATTCAGAAGATCGACCGTATGATGAGCATGTCTAACATGAAGCATGATGCTATTGTTGATCAGGGTATTCCCATCCTGGAGAGGGTTCCCATACCTGACGATATGATTCCGGAGGACAGCAGGGTTGAGATCGACGCCAAAATCCATGCTGGATACTGTGAGTCTTGTGGTGCACTGCGTTGTAACGCTAATCATCGTAGTTACGACAGGAAAGATCATGACGTTGGAAGAGCTAGACAATGTGCAAGGCCGAGCCTGGGACGACGTTGATGTGAGTATCCATTGAGGCCGACGCTGCCGCTTGACTAACACCTCGCAGCATTGATCAGACCTTTCCTGGGCTGTACATTGTGTCAAGTCTGTCTTGAGTTCAGTGTCTGGTAGTGTTGGTTTCGACATCAATCTCTGTGTCGAATCGCACCTCTTGTCTTGAAACAAACTCAACTAGAGATTGCACTATCTCCCTCTACAATCAAAGAACACTTTCTCCATTTGGTCTACTTTCCTTTCTGTTACCTGCTGTTGCCAACATCTGTCTTAGCATCAAACTTGGTCTGTGCAACCCTCCACATCGTCTGGTCCTCTTGGCTCAACGACGTCAACTCAGCGTCCTGTGAGCTGCTCAAGTATGTCATTTCAGCTGTTGATCATCTGCGTACGTCAGGTTCGTGTCAACCATCTTGTCTGCTTGTGACGTCAGGCATTCATTGGCAATTGAGTCAAAGCTCAAGCCAGCCAATCTCCCTCTTCGTCTCGACTCAAATCTCTTGCACACCTCTCAATTCGTGGTCACACAGTCCATGCAGATGCTGCAGTCCTTCTTGCGCAGTCTCTCAGTCTAGATGCCAGTGCTGTTGCATCAGAGCCTGGTCAACAGCACATGGCAGCGTCGCATTGGCATCTGATCGACTCGGCACTCCAGTAACTGCCGGAAATGGTCTAGCACTCTGACAGGCACAGAGACTAGGGTCTGAAGATCAGGCGTCAGCCTCTGCCGCTGGCAAGATGTCCGAGTGGTCTAAGGAGCTGTGTTTAGGTTTGGTCAATCCATACCATAACGATCCGCAGTAGCGTTGCTACAGGGGTTCGAATCCCCTTCTTGTCATTATTTTGCTGTTCGAGAGCTTCCAGTGTGCCTGGCTAGCTTTTTGTTCGTCTTGTCGCCGAGCCGGAGACTGATTCGAGCTCAGAAGCGAGTCTGACCAGTTTTTTGGTTGTCAGCTGGCCGGCTTTGCAGTCTGTTGTGCAAAATGACCCGCGGCTGTAGAGGAATTCAAGCTCGACACGATCACGAGCAGCTCGAGCTGGATCTCGTGAGCAGAATTACCTGTCGTACGAATGGGCGATCTCCCAGAGCATGGCCAGTCAAGACGAAACGAGTGTTCTTGCGAGCGATAGAGGGTTTTTGCGATCAAAGACCAGCAGAAAGGTGTCATCTGCTTAGAGAGACGACGAGGATAAGCATGAACGTGCATGTAGGCATTCCGTGGCACTTGAGGCGAGACACGAGACTGATCAGCGTGAGATTCATGTTCTACTCGTCCGAGAGAGCATACACGAGCAACTAATCACCACAAGAACTGCACTACCTGTGTCTATTGTACCCTTCAAGCTAAAGTGTCTGCATCTGCTTGATTGTTAACTAATTCCCACGCGAGATTTCGCGCTACACTTCCCCATGAACTGCAGCGTCATCGTTCAATTGTGCCTCTCGGCTTACCCGAAGAGCTCGTGTTCCGCATAACCAAGTCGCCGAAGAGCACTAAACGATCAGCTTACGACAACCGCGTCTCATTGTCTTCAGGCTCTGCGCATAGATCGTACCGTCACACTACGAGACCTCTTGGAGCAATTCCCGCAAAGCCACAAGCTGAAGAGCACGTGGCAGATGAAGCGCCAGACTACGAGAGTCTGAGACGCCTTCATGGCCAGGAAAGCAAGACAGAGAATCAGCTATGTTCTGCCACTCCCGAATTCAAGCGGCGGGCATAGACTCGGTGTCAATGGTCTCGCAATAGACAGCAACAACTCGATCTTGTATTCTGGCGGACGAGACGGCGTGATCTGCGCTTGGGACCTAGGTCTTGACCTCACCAGCAATGCTGAGGTTGTCGAAACGTACAAGCCGCCACCGACCACGATCATACAGCAAGTGCAAGCACACACGCACTGGATCAACGACATAGCTCTAGCCCAGTCGAATAGCGTCCTCCTCACAGCCTCCTCCGACATCACTGTCAAATGCTGGCGACCGACAGCACATGATAATCAACCACCACAATCGATAGGTCTCCACACAGATTACGTCAAGGTCCTCGCAGTCCCGTCGCCAACGTCGCCATGGGTAGCCAGTGGCGGACTCGACAGAAAGATCAATGTATGGGACCTTACAGGGGCTGGGCAGAAGCTTAGCATTGATGTTGGTGGAGACGAGGCGAGGAGCTTGTCTACAAGGGAGAAAGGCAGCATATATGCGTTGGCAGCGACGAACAACGTCATATGCAGTGGTGGGCCTGAGAGCACAGTAAGAGTATGGGATGCAAGGACAGGCCGGAGAATCACCAAGCTAGTGGGACATACGGACAACATTAGGGATCTGCTGGTCAGCCAAGACGGCAGCACTATCTTGACAGCAAGCAGCGATCGAACAGTCAAGGTGTGGAGCACAATAGCTGGAAGATGTCTTTACACTCTGACCATGCACGATGCGAGCATCTGGTCGCTATATTCAGCAGACCCGGACCTCTCGGTTTTCTATTCGAGCGACAAGAATGGCTTGGTAGCCAAGACAGACACGCGTAACACTATAGAGCTCGATGAAGGTCTCTCGGTGGCAATATGTCAGGAGCATGAAGGAGCTCACACAGTCAAGGCCGCTGGAGGTTACGTCTGGACAGCAACATGCAGACCAAGCATCAATAGGTGGAGGGACGTGAACACAACGGATGCTGAGATCGACGTACCAGAGACACATAACACGAAACGACGGAGCGTCAAACAATATGCCAGTCATCCCAGCAAACGAACCTCAGTCACCTCGAATCAGTCGCTAGGCGAGAAGAAGATTGCGCTCAAGCACATGCTTAGACTGAGCAATACGGCATACTTCCCGTTACCTGCAGACACTGACATTGCAGACATTCTACCCAACCGAAGGATAAGCACTTACGAGAAGCCGTCACAAGATCTGGTCATCGGACAGCCGATACGTGCGCATCCAGATTACACGACTGAGGGTCAGAACGGCCTCATCAAGCATGTCATGCTCAACGACAGGAAACGCATTCTCACTCTGGACACTGCCGGTGAGGTCGTCATGTGGGATCTGCTCAAATGTGTGCCTATCAAATCCTTCGGCAAGCAGCACATCGAAGATGTACATAAGGAGTTCCTCTCGGATGTTGCAGTCACGAATTGGTGCACTGTCAACACCAGGACTGGTTATGTCGCAGTTGTACTTGAAGAGCAGACGTGCTTCGATGCTGAAATCTATGCAGATGAGCTCGAGCTTGATCAGGACATTGAGTTCAAGGACGATCAGAGGATCAACCTTGGCAAGTGGGTGCTACGCTACTTGTTCTCGAATGTCATCTCGGAAGAGATCGAACGAGATCAGGTAGTTCGACAGCAACTTCTGCGAGGAAGAGAGCAGAGCTTGCAGCGAGACAACGCGCCAGCCTCAATCCAGATACCAACAGCACAGATGAACGGATGGCATGCTGATGGTTCGGCGCCAGGTTCTGCTACAACACTTCGTGCAACGAATGGACTGCGAGCACCGATCACGCCAGGCATCGTGGCTGCGACACCTGCGCCTGCAGCTTCTGTAGCATCTGATGGCGAAGCAGTTCCTAGTACCGATGACAACCCTCGAGCAAGCGTCGACAAGAACAGAGACTACTTCACAACAATGCGAAACGCCATGCAAGGTCTCACCTCGCCAAACACCTCCGCTCCTCTGAAATCACCCACTTCACCCAGCGCAGAACCCGACACGGATAACAAGGACACGGGATTGTTTGGGAAGAAGTTCAGAGTAGGTCGCTCGTTCCCAAGTATGAAGAAACTCGGTCGGTCACTGGAGAAAGAACGCCCATCCGCCGTGGAAGAGAAGGATGAGCATGAATCTGATTCGAGATCAAGCCAGGCGAGCAGCTCGCGTCACGTAGACGACAACTTCCTTGGGGCTGTGCAGAAGATTAGATTCGGCTATGAAGATTCGCTACAAGCGCAGGTCCAGTCTCAACAAGCTCATGAGAACGGCCTTCCAGGTGTGAAGAAAGATATTGAATTACCTACGGCTATCACACCTAGTCTTCCAGCAGAAACACCGGTGCTCAAACCGCCCGCGAACACAATCATCTTGATTCAAGAGGAGCAACCAGAAGCCGGCGGTGTCGCAGATCTGCTCGAGAGCACTGTCGGCGAGATCGGTCAGGTGTGCGACCAAGTCGAGAAGGCCGCTCCGGTATGGCTGGCCGATGTCCTTCTTCGCAACCAGATCCCAGCAAAGGAAATCGTCAAGATCTCGTTTGTGCTGGAGCCATACCCTGGAAGTGGTCTACCAGAGATATCTAGCGACAACAACAATCGTCTGAATGCTAACCGCATGCTCCGTGCAAGGAAGATTCTTGCTTATGTAGCAGAACGCATTGAGCCGCAGGACGACAAGGAGGCAGCCAACAGCTTGAGGCCAGATGAGTACCTAGAACTCTGGTGTCAGGGTCAGGTGAGTAATGCTGTCTTATGGTTTGCCACAGCTAATCCGTGACAGCGCGTGCCCAACCTGATGACCCTAATGACGATTCGTGTTCAGCTCTGGCGCAGCTCGAACGATATCGTGTTGATGTACAAAGCCAATGGTCAGAAGGCGATTAAGCATGTTGACACCACTGTTGCCAGCAAGAGCAGCATACCAGTTGCGACACCGAGTTGAGCAGGTCCTGCTCGTATCTGGACATCTCAAATGTAACGAAACATGTTCTCACGAACACTATCGCATAGTCAGCCATGGATCTGCAAGTTGCAGCGAGCAGAGACAATGACATACCCACGTTTCATGGCGACTGGTTTGCCATCCTCATATTCGACGCCAGAATCACCTCCATCGCCTGCCATTGCGGCCATCGTCTGGCGCATCTCCTCATCGAGCTGTGCCTGAGTCTTCTGTGTTTGTGTAGCGTTTTCTTTTGCGGAAGAGCCTGTGTCATGGAGATCTTTCGTGGTCGAAGTTACATCAGTGCTCTGTAGTGGCGCTGTGCTTGACCATCGGTGGCTCGCAATGCTGGTGATGCCTTGCTTTGATACTTTCATAAGTGACTTCATCGTCGCTGTCGTCGATATGTGGCCCCAATGCGATAAGATAGGCACATGTTGATGGTCAGCAGTAATACTGGGGTGGAGCGATGATGCTGGAAAACGTCAGCATCGCCAAGAGACGAATCCGACACATGAGACGAGCAATACGCTTGAGTCGCCAAGATCACTGCAACATCAAGTATTGTATTCAAGCTTACGTCTACGAAGTCGAAGCGACCAGCTCTGAAATCATGCCATCGACTCTGCCAACATAGATAGAAACATGCCCTTCGCCCTGCTCAAAATGCTTTGTCAAGTACTCCTTTGGAATATGCGCAGCAATCCATTCACCATGAGCAAAGGGTACTGCAGCGTCGAGACTGCCATGATGGAGGAAGACAGGCACACGAATGTCCTTGACGTTCACTCCCCACGGCAAAGTGAATGCCAGATCGTCATCAACCCAACCATCGGAGCTCCCTGTCAGCGCCTCTGCAAAGGTAGCAACAGTGTACGAGCCTAGGTCACCTCCATCTAGTAGCGCTCGTTGATCAACTTCTGGCAGTACTGATGACAATCCTTCGACAAGTTCCTCAACGCTTGCCTGGAGCATTTCAACGCGCCTTGGTTTGGTGAAGGCCTGAAGCGCTTCCTCGCCGGTCAGCGCGGCGTTCGTCTCATCAATATCTGTGCGCTGTCAGTGTTGCGTACTGTAATAGAGCAGTCGTTGTGCGCACTGTCTTGGCCTTGTCCTGCAAGGTAGTCAAGTCCTTCACCATCGTATGGTGCAACACCAGCGATCACCAA